TCTGACTCAAAGACGATTGATTTGTATGATTGACCAAAACTTAATAAAGACAAGTGTAAACAAACACAAAAAGCTTCTCCTATATCGTTGTTTGAATTGGCTATATATTTCAAAATCTTTTGAATCGAAATAAAAATTTAAACGCAAAAGTTCATAAACAAAAATAGTTTTATAATTTGTTGATATTATCATTTAAAAATTCAAAGTTGATTCATAATKGTCATATAACAAAAAATGTGATAATTTTAGGAATATTAATTATTTTTCATTGGTAGATTTCATTAAATTTCAATATTTCAAAAAAAATAATTTAAACTTTTCGAAATAATAAGTGTTAATGGACTATCCTGTTTATATAGATATAGATATTTGGTATTATAATACTTGTTTTAAACATCAGCAAGGTACTTATTGTTATTTTTTTATTAATTTAATAGCGAATTATATTGTTTCTACTGACAATATTAAAAATTATATACATCTATAATTTATTAATCATTAACATTGTCGATTAAGCTAAGTTTGGCTCACTGCTCGAGTTTAGTATTTTAGTATTATTTTTATTGGTGTGATAATACGTGAAAATAATAAATTACAATGTGAATGTCGGATGTGACAACGTTGCATAACACATACCGACTACGCGTGACAAATTTTCACGGTGATTTGCGGATGAACAATCAATGCTAACGAAAAAAAAACATATTTCCGCATAATAGTTATAACAGGTCCATTAAGTGATTTTAGTGTTAAGATAACTACTATAAAAATATAAAATACAACAATTTATCTTGTTTCGGTTTTTTTAATTTACAGCTTTCAAAAACAGAAATTTAAGTTTAGAAAAAGGATTTTTTACTTTTTGAATTCACAATAATTTTTTTGAATTATTAAATTAAAAAACCCAAAACGAAATTCACTTTAAATTTTAAAATGTTGTGTTCTATCTTTTCTTATAAGAACAACAGAAGTATACTACCTATAAAGTCAGTAGWGGTCATCACGTTACATAATTTATTTATTTAGCTGTATTTTATACTGACTATAAATATATATATTTTAAATTATAATTTTAATGTTATTTCGACGCGTATTATAGACAAACAATATGATACGTAAAAATATATTGACTAATTCAATGCGGATGCGTTTAGCATTAAAGATAAATATAATCATTTTAATATATTATATAAACATAGAGTTATTACATTATTATTTTATTATACTGCTTTATTTAATCGTAGAGTTATTTTGCACAACGCTATACCATACACGGTTTATCGTTTATGTATAATTTCAGTGTGAGTTATGCATTGCTCATATCAGTCATACCACACTTAAACAGCAAGATACATTTACCGAATCATCGTTTATATACATGATATTTGAAACGTTGGGAAAACTATTGATGTAAGTGTCATGTATTAATTGTATAAATAGCTAGTAATAATATTAATAGAAGAATAAGTACGATGTATTATAACATAATATTAATATATTTACGATAATATTTATCATAGTTATTATTTTATATATCATAATATTATAACCTATAACTTTTGTTTTTGGTATACTTTTCCATCCAAATGYCTTTGAAAAAACAGATAGGTGCAGAAAGAAATGTACTTTCTACATGAAGAAAATTGACCATGATTAAAAACTTTATTTTTACTGTTAAAAATATTGAAAATGTTATTGAAGATAGGCCCCACCACGATTATCTATTCTCTACGGCCAACGATATTTCCATGTTATATCTACTTCCTACAAATATAAAAAAAAAATTACTAATTTAAAAATATAAATAACTCACAATAACGATTTTAAAGATATAATGTATTGTATTTTTAATGCTCAAAAATAAGTTCTTTATCAAATAATATTATAACTATTTCAAGACATGTTTTTCAACGCTGATTTTTACATACCTAGTTTGATTGATTGATGAAACCGTTATTAAAGAAATTATGATAAAAATACTCATGGTGATTGGTGCATTCGGAAAATGAGGATTCCCAACATTGTGCTTTTTTGTGACATTTTTTAAAAGTTATTTTTCGAGTTCAATTGATTTTGTTTTTCATAGTGAATTGAGGATTATTTTTCCAAGTGAGCGCCAAACATACGGGTTTGAAGTTTTTTTGTCATAATTTCTTTAATTATGGTTTTCTATAAAAATGTTTTGATTTTAGTGAGTGGCGTTGGTAAAGTGGATTTGTTCCAAATAAATATACAGCTGAATCCGTCCACTTGTTGATTTATTACAAAAAGTGAATGATGGATCTTGGGGAAAGTACGACCAGTAGAATAAGTAGATGGAACTCTACGCCTCACTTCCAATTACCAGAACAACCGTCTACCAAATTCATTGACAGATTTATCCGTTTGAGAACTACATATTGGAACAAAGGATACGCAGTGGTTTTGCTTGGACTTATAGGTAAATTGTTGAATGTATACCTTCAAATGTAAAATTTAATACTTCATAAAATATATAGTTATGTGTTAATTGCCGATATTCCAGTAACGCATAGTTGTCGTCAACCATCTAAAGTCTAATAGAGTAATAGCGATTAGTATTTTAAAAATGTTTAATAGTAAACCGTGCTTAATATGGTCCGGTACTTGTTAGTGGTTTATTATATTATCGCCTAGACGTGTAGAAACTTTATAGCCCTGCCACTCAGGTTTTTCTCGTCGCTATCCATGTAAATAAAATCAACAAATAAATCAGTAATAATAATAAATATATCSCATTAATAATTTTACGGTTCTCAGAAAAAATGTATCATAAATATAGCCTAACAAGTGTTTATCACATAATATTGGTAGTTTAAAAACCAATAAACAAACCGAAAAATGCCAATCAAACGGYATACCAATAATTACTGTGGGTTTATTACCCAGACTGTTTTTTATTCATTGTTAGCCTATTAGGTATCCGATTTACWGGTTTATGTTGTTATTTTATGTATTATTAAAAATTAAAATACATTTTAAAGATTTGCGAATACTAACGCCCGATGTTGATTTAACTCTAATTTACATTAATACTATACTATCTATCATTATTTACAATTGTTTTGAAATGTAATATTAGTAACAATTATTTTGTATTTATTTAGCYGAGTTCTTTTGTTGTCAATAATCGTTATTTATTATTTATCACCGTGGTTCTCTTTTTTTAATTAAACCAGTCGGCTGTCTGAGATGTAAACATATTATAATGTCCACTAAATGTTTATAATACGGTAAAAGTATAAATACCAATGAAACATAGGAGTTAGATCTCGTTCAATCTTATAGGTTTCATTGACTTTAGAGTTTAGACTGATGTCGGTAATTTAACGGTAAAATTTGATTAAGGTAAAACCTATGACACACAAAATAGTTTGAACTTAAACATACGATTTTTGATACAAGGTGATTCAACAACCACGCTTATCCTTATTTTTTTCATTTAATAGGTAATGAACTTGTTCAAATTTTATAATTTTTATAATTTTTTTAATGTACTTGAAGAAATTAAAAAAAACAAATTCTTGAATTTGTTTGTACTGCTTGGGTCGAAATTAGTATAATATAGTCAAATAGAAAATCTTACAATATCATATCTAAGAAGAAATTCGTATATTCGTATACAGACTTTTAAAAATTATCTCTTACAATAGAATGTTAACATGACAACAGCCGGTGAAACGTGAAATCTAAAATTCACTTATAAATTTCACCAATATTCATACTTTTATCGTAACTGATTTTTTTATAGGTTTTTTCATTACGTCGCTTCAATTGAGTTCATATTTTAAGTTTATTTGGTTTATGGCACTACAAAATCAAGTGAGTGTCTGTTATACCATTAATAGTTTTCAATAATAACCTACTTATTGATTTATTTATTTAACTAATGTTATATTCTAATTTATTATTACAGATTGACTATTCCTATTATTATTGCATGTCTTACACCATGCATGGATATTATACCGGTGTAATACTAGGTGGTGTTTTAGCAACAGTTTATCCGGCTCACAAGTAACTAAGTGATAATTCAAAGAATAATCATTTAAATTTAATTTAGGGCTAGGATTTAAAGTTTATATACAATATTAGAATATATAGGATATAAATTAATTAAAATTTTGATATTTGAAATATATTATATATTTATAATAAAAATATTTGATATAGACTATAAAGTTAATAACTATTAAGCTGGTGTAAGGTATGTGTATGTGCATTAAAAAGCTAAAACTGTGATACCAAATTACAAATCCAAATGTACATATTATGATTATACTAGTCACATCTCACACATTGAAACAGGCAAATGTAAATGTCACTTAAATTGCCTAAATATTACTCCTTAAAACATTAAATGTTACAGCACTCCTAACGAATCACCGTCTACATCAGTGTACCAAGAGTACAACATTAAATGTCTGCTTTGAGTCTTTGAATATAGCAATTTTAAATTTAAAACCAAAAAAATTTACAATTAAATCCTGAAATCTGACAAAAATATTCTAAGGTAGGTACTCGAATTCTTAATGAAAAAAYATGCAAACAAAAATACTTAATTAGTTTTTTATAAAAYAATATTACGYGATTCTCATTATCTTGTATAACCAAATTCCAACTCACGACTGCTAAGTAATAGAACGATTAATAAATTAATGTGTATTAATCCTAGCCCTACTTCACCAAGAAGTTATCATAATTCAATTAAGTTTTATGATTATGTTTTCAGTATCTTAGGAATTTTCGTCACCATATCGTCGATTGGTCAGTTAATTTCAGTCATAAGTATAAGTTACTTAAACACTCACACACATTGTTTTTTACAATTTTTTGTCGGAATGACAATGGTAAAAATAAGATTCTTTATTTATGTGAAGTTCGATTTCATAGTATACAAATTAGTAAATATTAATGAGTTTTGTACATTATTATCCTATAGGCCGTTGTGGATGTGTCACTTTACAGAGTTTGGACGTATTGGGTCCCACAAGATAAACAGTCAATACGTCACTTTCCAATAGTATTGTC